GTTTATTGTATTTGGTTCAGCGGTTATCGAGTAATTAATAAATAAAATTTACAAAAAATTATGAGACATACTGTATAAACATAAAAACAAAAATACTGGCAAAAGAAAAAGAGGAAAAAGCTAAAAGATCAAGAATAGGAAGAAACAAGCTTCAAGATATTACAAAATAAGGAAAAGGACTTTGGTTCTTAGACTCAAAATAAAATCTCAATCTGGGATTGAATCAAAAAATGAAAAAAATAACTAGAAATATAAAAATAATTTAGATTTTGCTTAGACAAACTGTAGTAATGAACTATAGATAATGATTTTTGAAATTAAACTCCATAAGCAAGTAAATCATAAAGGGAATAATCTTTTTCACTTAAAAGTTATGCTTAGAGACATTAGTATAAAATGAGTATTCAAAACAGTAGAATAGTTTATATAATATAATATATTATATATTATTTGTTTTTTGTAAAGATTAGGACTTCTAATGATATTACTTCAATACTAGTTCAATACTTTAAATTTACTATAAAATCATATAAGTAGGTTATAACCTATATATTAAATTTACTATAGATCGATACTATTTTGATATCAGTTTGATATCAGTTCTGTACTTTTTGAAGCTCTAGTAAAGATTTAATAAACAATATATATTTGTTTGAATATGAAAAAAAAATTAATAATAAGTTTAAATGTTTTTTTATTAATTTTAAGTTTTGAAGTAGAAATATATTTTTGATAATTATTTAAATTAAAAAATTTATCATTGTATTTTTAAAAGCAGTAAAAAATTGTTTATTGTTAAAATTAAAATCAATATTTTTTAATTCAGATCTGTTATATAAATTAGTAATTAATAATAAAATATTGGATTTATATTTTGTAAAAATAAAGCTATGCATGATTTATATAATCGTTTTGAGATAATTATAAAGCAATATTATATAAAATTAAAATAATAAATCTATTTTGTGATTTTGAATAAGAATTAAAAGGTATAAAATAAAAATTATAAGATTTTAATAAAAAAGAAAGATTTTTTTTTAAGATTTAAAGAAAGTATAATAAAAATTGAAATTTCAAAATTAGATGTAAAATAATATTTATAATTTTGAAATTTAAAAATTAATGATTATTTTATTACATAATTTTTTAACAATTAATAATTTGATTTTAATAAACTTTTTTTTATATAAATGTTCAAAATCTAAGCTTTTAAATAAATACTTTTTTATTAAATAAAATTATATAGTTATAAAGATATTAGCATTTTAATTTATTGTTAAAAAATTAAATCTATAAAAATTTAAAATATGAAAATTTGACAATTTTATTATGTAATTTTCTTAACAACCAATAATTTAATTTTAATAAACTTTTTTTTATATGAATATTTAAAACTTAAGCTTTTAAATAAATACTTTTTTATTAAATAAAATTATGTGATTATAAAAATATAAGTATTTTAATTAAAAAAAAACAAATTTTAAAAAATTAATGATTGAAATTAAAATTCAAAATAATATCAATCAATATTATATGATTTGAAATTTAGAATTATAATATCAATCAATATTATATGATTTGAAATTTAGAATTATAATTTTAGAATAATATATATATACCTTAAATATTGATTTATTTTCAAAAATAATTATTCAGATATACAGTTTGTTTAAAAAGTCTTTGGACAAAGATTTTTTATAATAAATAAATAACTATTTATTTAATTGTTATAAAATTTTAAAGATAGAATGTAAAAAATAAACTAATAAGTTTTTTTTAATACTTTATTAATAAATTTAATTTAAGATTTAAATTTTAAAATCAAAAAAAGTTTTTTAAAAAAATTTTTATGAGTTTTTATATATACATTTATATATAAATTATGAATAAACTTTTTTAAAAAAAATTATTTGATTAATAAAAAATTCCAAAAAAGTTTTTTATAATGTACAAATTACTTTTATAAAAATTGGTTTATTTTATATTTTATAAAAATAATTTTTAAAAAGTTTTAAATTTTGATTTTAATATAAATTTTAAAAAAAATTTATATTTTGTATTAAATTTTGAAATATGCAACTTGAAATTTAATGAAAGTTATTTTTTAATTAATTTTGTTTATCTAGTATTTTTGTTACCTTCAAAAATAATTACTCATATTTTCAACAATATATTTATTTTATTTAATTTGATGTTATTAAATTAGTTATTAAATTATAAGGAAAAAATAAAATTTAAAGAATTCCAATTTTTTTTTCAAACTACTGTGTATAATTCTTTTATGATATCATATAATCCATTTATAATTTAATTTTCAGATATATATTTTTCTATTGGAATTTTTTTTCAATGGATTTTACTAAAACGTATATTACATGATGCATGTTTTTTTTAATTATTTTCGTGATGATTATTTTATTCAACTTTTTAATAATTCAAGTATTTTCGAATATTCTGGTCACGTACTGTATACTGTATTATAATAAAAATATGTGGATGTGAGTTTTTGATGGGAGGGTTTGATTAATGAATTCATAAATCATGTAACGCATATGTTTTGAATTGTTTTTTAATGAAGAAATCATTGATACCTTTGAAAATTGATTACAGTATGAGAAAAAAACCAATTCATTAAAAAAAAAAAATGCTGTCCATTACCGACTTCACGTGAAATACAATTTCTTATTCAAAGTCATATCAATATTCAAAAATCACATTAAGCGTACTCATTATTTTGATGATATTTATGCACGGAATAGGAAAGTGAAATTTGTTTTTATTTTGTATCGAATCATGCCTGTTTTGCGATAAGGCACAGTGTATTGGTTTCTAATTCATTCATTGTTTTGGAGAAACCGTATCACTAACAGATATAAGGGATGACATAAGACATTAGGTATCTTGAAGAAGTTGGCTCGTCCGAGTGATACGAAGTATTTACAGTATCTCTTTGATGCGTCCATACAACAGTATAATGGTTACACGAATAGGCAATTCGAAATTACGAAACTGGACGTGCGCGCGCATGTATCATGTTTTCACAGGTTACAAAAGTCGTAGGATAATGTTTACGATTTCATCTAAAGTTTTGCATCACGTCTTACCAAAATTCCATTCCTAACAGCACAACAATAGACGTTAAATAAGCATCAAAGATACACAATCCTCAAAGTGAAATTCCACCTTCACCCTCAATCAAAGCACACTCTAATAAATATCAAATGATAGCTACAGTATGTGCAACGATATACATTAGCATGTTACTTGTTCTATCATGATGAGCAGCTTCACATATTGCCGATGATCGCACTTTTCCAGAACAAGATTAAACAACGGTTTCTCATTGGTCTTCGCTTAATTGCAAACATTTCCACCAACATTCCTGAATATTTTTAATTTAATATGAACAACCCATCGAACTAACTATTGAATAGAATTGTCAAAAAATTGTGCACATCTAACAAGATTCGGATTCCTTTAGAGGACCGTCCGTCAAAATTAGGCATAGTATCAAAATATTTTATCACCTATGATTTCTATTTTTTGCAAGATAATAAAAGTACGCGGTGTGCATTGTTTATAATTTTTATTATTGGATGACGAATAGTAATGATCCTGCACGATCCATGTTGTGTCAAGATACTAAAGTGCAAAAGGTTCGTAGATTTAGAAAATTATTGTCCTCCAAATTGAGTGATGCTCTAAATTTGACGCATAAAAATGGGAATAAAATCAAGTTGAATTTAGGTATGGGCTTGTTGATAAAACGTTGTTCCGGTACGAAATTATTTAAATATGCGTTGGGCACAAAAAAGTTTTTGACACTGCCTCTTTGTTTGGCACGTTTGCTGTCTGTTTTGAGCACATCAACAAATTTGGCTTGCAGTCACAAAAAGTAATAATCTAATTCATTATCAAAAGTGTATATCCGTGGGATCGCATCCTAAAATCATTCGCCAATTTCTTCTCGATTTATTTTCTTATATATATTACGTGCTTCCTGATTTGAAAGTTCATCATTTTCTCTCGGCCTAGCCCATTTAACTTACTTATTTATTCTACACGTTCATTTGTCAATCAATTTCATCACTTATAAGTCAAGTCCCTTTCAACTAATATTTCCTTCTCGACGTTGCCACCCACAAAAGTTTGACGATTTTTCGGGATGGCACCTAGTCTAGAGATAAAATTCTTGATAGGAAGTTTGGTATTTACTGGGATTGTCTGTCTCTTTCTGTTGTACCAATGTATATCCAACTTTACGAAATTAAGGCTTGCATGGTAAGCAAAATGCTGACTGACACGATATTTTACGTGCCTCTACTATGACTTTACTTATCCTTCTCTTATGTTTAACAGTCTGGTATCAACCGTTTCAGTATTTTTTGTTAGCGTGTGTAATTACGGCACCGCTCAAAATTACCCGTGGATTCCTTCAACCACCTACTGGATGGTATTCGCGCTTGTGAGAGCTATTTACACCTCAATGTTGGTGATATGCATGCTGGACATGGGAAGAAGGTTTTACGGTGAAATTCCCTGGAATACCTTCCTCTTTAAATTCACCATATTACAATTGTTTGCCTTTGACTCGGTGAACATTGCCGACGCCTTGATGATTCATCTTTCAAATGAACAAGTAGATACTCCGTTATTTCTCGTTCAGGTGAGTTAATTAGCTGTGGTTATTTACGAGTTCATGTACGTATAAACAATTATCGTCAGTTTGTTTCACTGTTACACCGATCATGGATGTCACAAGTGCTTTGTCTTTGAGTTTCGTTGATTCTTTAATGTCATCTCATACAAAGCTGGCCCCGTAGGAACTAAAACAATCCAATCTCGTATATTGTACATGTAGTTAATATTAGGTGTCACCACGATCACCTCGTCATTCTTGTACTCTTTCCTCCCGGTGTTAACCATACACATGAACAAGTGTTC